GTAAAACTTATTGGTAACATCCAATTTTCATAAAAATGAATGGTTCATTCTTAATAATGCAATTACACCCATTTTTTCACTTAAACTTTTAGAGCTTAATTTTCATTCTTTTTGGACATTTTAAATTTTTTTCCTACAATCTAAGACATGTTTAAAATGATGGTAACAACCATTTTTCATCAAATTGAAAACTACATCTTGAATGCTGCATTTGACGTGTTTTTTTAATTAATTCTTCACTTTTTCACTTAATTGTTTGCATACATGTGTGTACCTTATTTTTTATGCTTTTTTGAAATTTTAAATTTTTTCCTACACTAAAAAGTGTGTAGAATTCAATGGTAACACTCAATTTCCATAAAACTCAACCATTCATCCTGAATACTGTAATTGGTCATATTTTTCAATTGGTTTCTAAGAGCTTGATTTTCATTATTTTTTGACATTTTAAATTTGTTTCCTACACTTTCAGACATGTTAAAAATGATGGTAACAATCAATTTGCATCAAAATAAAAATTGTATCTAGAATAATGCCTTTGGCGTGTGTTTTTAATTAATTCTTACACGCTTAATTATCCGTATTTTTGGGAACTTTAAGTTCATTTCCTACATTTTGAAAGGTTTCCAAATTGATGGCTTTACTCATTTTGAATTCAAATTAAATTTGTACACAGTACAAATTATGCAAGAAACGAGGTACACTCATGTATTAAGATTGAAGCTTTTATTTTCAGGCAACTTGGAATTCACCATTAAGTTCTACACATTTTTAAATGTAGGAAATAAATTTAAAATTTCAAAAATGATCAAATTAGCTGGTAAAATCATTTAAAAAACATAAAAAAAACCTGTCCAACACAGTACTCAATAACAATCTTTGATTTTTATGTAAAATGGTTGTTACCATCATTTTGTAAATGTCTTGAAGTGTGGGAAATAAATTTAAAATGTCAAAAAAGAATGAAAATTAAGCTGTAGAAATTTAAGTGAAAAAATGTGTCTGATTGCAGTATTTAAAATGAACAATTGATTTTTATGTAATTTGGATCACACCATTAAATTCTACTCACATTGTAACCTAGGAAATAAATTCAAAATTTCAAAAAAACATCAAAAATAAGTTAAAAACATTAATCCAAACATTTAATTGAAAAATGAAAAAAAAATTAATAATCAAAATTCATTTTTATGAAAAATGGTTTTTACCATTAAATTCTATGCACTTTGAAACATAGGAAACAGTTTTAAAAATTCAAAAAAACTCGAAAAATAAGCGGGAAAAAAATAATTAAAAAACCGCGTGTACACGCGGAATCCGCGTGTGCTGCGCGCAGCAGAAACCGCGTGTAAACGCGGATTTACCGCGTTTTTTCATTAACGCCCTTTTTTCAAAAGCTTTGATATTCATTTTGGGGGAGTGGGAGTGCTGAGAGAAAGGAAGAATGGAAAATGGGAAGAATGATTATAGATAAAATTTTTAAAAAAATGGCTACCAGATGGCTTTAAACAGCTGTTGAGTAGGGCATCCACCAGCTCACAATATTGTAGTAAAGCACTAGAATTTACCGTTTTGAATCCAATCTGGACAGCCAACCTAGCTCACCCTTTTTTGGTTCCAATTTTTTTTTTTTTCATTTATAATCCACTTTCAACACTACCTCATATCCAGTACTGGATATGGAGTAAAAAAAACTGGATATTCAGTGTTTTTTTTTAAAAAAAATGGTGTGAAGAGGTGAACAAAAAAATAAATAAAAATACTACATATCCAGGTTTATTTTACTGCACATCCAGTGCGGGATATGAAGTTATGTTTCAAGTGATCATTCTTTCCATGTTCCACTCTTTCTTTCTCTCAGCACTCCCACTCCCCCAAAATGAATAACAAAGCTTTTGGAAAAAAACCAATTTTATTTTTTATTTTTCACAAATTTTAAAACTTTGTTTTTTATTTTTTTATTTTTTAATATTCATTCTTTGGGACCTATTCTGCACCACTTCCCCAATTCTTGTGACTTCAAGTTTGTGCTTTGAAGCTCTGGAATCCAAAACAAGCAGCCAAAAATAACGGTCCACCCACTGTACTGTTACCTTAAATTGTTGTGGTTGATCACTCGATCAGAGAGAGAGGAACACGAATCAATACAAGTTCCTTTTTGTTGTTGTTGTTGTTTGTCTTCTTGTTCTTTGGCCACAAAAAGCCCGCTGGGCCTGATGTCAGTGTCTACTAGAGACCTCTATGTAGTCCGCTTGCCAAAGAGTGTATACTAAGGGTTCCATGTCCCTTTGACTGATCCTTATGGAATATGAAGTGTACTACTAGTAGAATCACAAGGGTTTTCGAGAACCTTGCAAGGTATATGATATTGGATTTCTAGGTAGCTCGGCAAAAAGGAGAGCAAAGTCCAGTCTCCCTGTATTAGCTTACTATCAGTACAATATACAATATCACCAGCAGAAAGAAAGGAAGAGAAGAAATGAAATGAAAGCTGAAATTAAAATGATAGAAGAAACAAAAGACAAAGTGATAAGAAGTGAAATGATTGGCTTACCTAGCTGATCAAAAACGATAACCACAAGTCCAGTCTCTGTTGAGCAAGGTGGGGGGGTTGGGGGGCGCTTTGAGTTGAAGTAGCCGGTGGATGAAGTGACTATGAAATTTGATTTGAAACCAGTGCAACAGAGTTTCACAAAGAGTCCCACAGAACTCATATTTTTCTACCCATTATCTCATCCACTGAAAAAAAAAAACATGTGGAGAGTCTGCAGTGGCCCCCTAGTCAGGAGTTCAACTGGGCATGGGGGGCTGGTAGAAAACTTCAAGTTAGTTGGAGCTTGGCCCTCCGCCCTGGATGGCAGGTTGGGCTTTTGGACATGCCTCCTGTTTGCAGTCCAACAAGCAGCAGTGGGCCACTATGCTTTTGGCCCACATAAAGCGTTGCGTAGCAGCACTTTTTTTCCACCAAAAAATTGGTGTTTTTTTAGCGGATTTTTGCTATGCTACGCTGTGCTACAGGGCCCAAAAAACCGCTAACCAGCATGTTAGCGTAGCGTAGTGGGCCCTTTTTTGGGGCCTATGCGCAATGTGTTAGTGCAGATGTGGCAGAATTCCGCTATGCTACGCTAAAATTTAGCGGAATTCTGCTACACTACAGTTAGTGTAACTGGCCCACCATTGCAAGGAGCCTGGCTTTTGGACCCGGTGTACTGCACTCAACAATCATCAAAGCAAGCTTGCCCCTGCCATGATCAAGATGCCAAGATGTGGCCAGAACTGGCTGAACAAGCCAATCAATGATGAAGAGGAGTACTCGAGGATTTGTTCCTCCAGCTCTTTCCTCAGCTTATCCATATTCCAAACACCTCCCTTCCACCCCCCCTTTTGTGCAAGAAATGTAGTCAACCAATCACTCAATACCTTAATCTGTCTCCTTGACATTTTACTATGTGATGTCTGTCCTCTGAAGCACAATACATCAATCCACTCCACACCCTTGCTCCCAAATAGCTTATAGCAGCCAGACCCGGCCAGGTGCCCGGGACCCTGCTTGAGACCGCCCAAGCCTAGCAGAGGTCCTGGGTAGGATGCTGGGTCTGGGCACAGCTTTGCCTTGGCAAGCCAGGCCCGGATCCACCCAGCATGGAAGGAAGGCCTCTTGGGCCCAAGCCTGGCCCATTTTCCCTGGTATTGCTTCATCAAAAGATCATAAGAAAAAAACTAGGCCACACTAAAAAAAGGAGAAGTTTCCTTTGTTGTAGGTTCTCAATCCCAAACATTCAATATATTATAAGAATCTTCAAACATGATGAAGTTCATGTGGTATCCTTTGCATGCAAGGGGAGTCAGAGCACAATTTGAGATTGTCTTTGTAACATGCTCATGCTGACACATACCTCTTCTTGTATAATCTAAGTGACAAACATATGCACACACTCTAAGGATACCACAAAATACTATGATAATCAAGGAGAACAATGGGAATCAACTAAGGGAGGAGTGGGGGAAAAGTTACCCCAGGCACAGGAAGGAACCTGGTATGGCCTTGTGAAACCCTGCTCTACAGAGTTCACAAAGAAATCACACAATCAAGAATCCAGACTACTTCAAGACTCATTGACCTGATCCCCCTGCCAGCTCAGCAGAGACTTTTCCTTTATGGTCAATTTGCTGAGCTGGGTAAGCCAAATTTTCATTCCACTTTCTGTCACTTTGGTTTTCCTCCTTGTCTTCTTCTTTCTTGCTTGATCTTTTCTCTTCCTTATTCCTTTCTTTTCTGATGAAAACTCAAAGCGTGTACTGACTGAGAGAGACTTTTCCTTTATGGTCAATCTGCTGAGCTAGAACAAGAAAAAAAAAACCTTTTGGTTCTAGAAAGTCCCCCTCAGCCCAAGCTTCCTTCCATAAGATTTAGTGAAGGGAGTAAAAAACCCTTACAGGCCTTCCTGACACTCTTTGTAAAGTAAGGTGCTGAGAAGAATATGAAGATGTCATGTTCCTCCTTGATATCCAGCTAACTCCCATTGGAAGTCGTATAGGAAAGCTAGCTCTGACCGCTGGGAATGGGCTCTTTAGTGAGCACATATCATTTCCTCATCAGAGGTGGCTTGGTTGATTGGTAAAAAGAACCTTTGTGGTCAAACTATTGAGCACCAATCAGGAAGCTTTGTAGAGCCTTGGTATCCAATTTTGGGCTGGCCTGGGTTTGTATACATGCATGTAGACTAGCCATGCTAAACCATTCTTTCAATCCCTATGGCTCTTAAGCCGAGTGACCATCAATTTGTAGTTTGAACTGAAGGCAATGTTTTCATGAGCTGATTTTTAAGGCTCACCCAAATTACATCAGAATCATCCATCTTCGTGGCTTCCATCATAATCATATCATCTGCATCTTAGCGCATGTCATGCTCAAGATCTTACAAGGATTACTCAGATTCTTCTTCAACCATGTCCCAATAGTCGTCCATGTCTAGATCCGAAATCACCGGGCTAGTTTGTCGTACAGCTCCATTTGGTGAACCTTTTTCTTCTGATGTTGTGGCGTCAGTTGGGGCGACGATTAGACGGGGCAGAAAGATTGTATGTAGAGGTGGCTTCTTGCTTTTGGTTGTCGGTCGAGGCGGAGGCTTGCCATAATACCTGCCCATCGTGTTGAACACATAGACAAAGAGAGTGCAGCTTGTCAGCAAATCTCTTTGTCTTTAACATGACGCGTGAAAGATATCTTTTACAGGGCAGCTGTTCGACGTTGTTCGGAATGTGATTGAGGCAGACGGATCGGAGCAGATGAATGGCTTTGATTGAAACAACAGAACTTTAAAATACGCGTAGGAGGAGTCAGTCCCCGATCAGATAGACTCTTTCATCGATCAACACAAATTAGGAGGGCAATCTCCCAGGTGGAAACACTCACCTTGAATTCATCCATGGCGGCCTGAAAGGCATCCACAAGTGCTGTCTCCGCAAAGATTTCTTCCCGACTGACTTGAAATGTGTCTTGTGTTTGAACGGTGCTACTTGAATTCAATTCTGACTGTGGGGTAACGGGCTTTGCGTCTGAAGATGCTTTTGATAGGGTTGTTTTGTGGGTGACAGAGATATTTGAGGGGACTAGGGAAGTGTTGAGCTCTTGATGAATTTTTGGAGATAGAGCGGTTGATTTTTTAGATGATTGAGAGGGGATCAATTGTTCTTCCAGGATCGTAGGGACATCTTCGAACCGGATCCGTTTAGGCTTTGGGGTGGGGATGGACTCCTCTAACAGAGCTGGCACGTCGAAGGCTTGATCGAGTAGCCTGATCGCTGCAGCCTTGGCAGTCGCAAGTTCCTCATCCGCTCTGCTGCTCTCGTTCGAGGTTGCCGTGAAGACCGACGATGACCGTGCTTTGCGTCTCTTCTGTTTTCTACTGAGTTTCTTCGCTGGGGGAGCTGCTGTGCTAGTAGAAAGTTGTGAAGACATCGGCTCTTGGCTTGCTGTGCTGTCTACTTTTTTTTTTCTTCTGGCCAAGTTCGTAGGTCGCACTGGTTTCGGAGTGGCCGCAGCGGGGCATCACCGACTGGCCGTCGACTCGACGGCTCATCGAACTTCAATCTCATCGTGAACACAAAAACCCTTGCCCTCACTTTCAACGTGTGTCAGCGGCAGCATTCTCTCGTCTTTGTTTCAGCGTTGGTAAGTACATGTGCCTTGCTCCTTCCAACAAGCGTATCTGCCTCCCAATGCTTTATCTCTTCAAACCACCATCTCCAAAATTTGTTTAGAACATTTTTCATCAATCCAACCAACTATGATTGCATTTCAAATACTTCTTATTAGCCTGAGGTTAACCTCACTCAGTGCTGGTTTGAATAGAGCCACAGAAGGGTTGAATGTTTTGGCAACTGAAATTGATCAACAAGACATCACTTTGGGTTTTACAAAAGGTAGACATCAAATCAATTTTTTTTCTTCCTTTTTTCATTTAAAATCAGATCTGCTGAAAGATTTTATCTGCCGAATTATTCCCAAAGACCTCAATCTAAGAGGAACACCCCCCAAGCAAATCAGAAAAGTAGTTTCTTCTTTGGAAGATTTTGTGTCTCCCAGACATGAATTTGTTCCAGATAAGACTGAAGGAAGTCAGTTTTTAATATAATTAATATAATTTGACAGATCTGTGTATTCAAATTACTGATTTTTTTCAATTTTGAAGGCTCAAAGAATATGAAGTATTCAAACATAAATCCAAGTAAGTTTTTTTATTTGCAAATATCAATGCCCAACCTTTATAGTTGCCAAGATACAATTTCATTTTATAGATCACAACTACTTGAACAATGAGCATTTTGAGGAAATTCTCAAATGTCAACAAGAGATCCAGGAGCAGCTCAAGTGGCTTCACAATCATACGGGTGCAAAATATTCAGAACATTTACCTCAAGCTAGAAATTTATTAGAAAGATCAAAAGAAGATCTTAAGAAACTGAAATTTGTGATTGAAAACGGGCTGGGTGATATTGATGAGATAATTCCTGAAGGTCCACATCAATCAATCATTAGGACATTATCAATGTCAATACTTGAGGGAGTGATGGCACTGATCAATAATCATAGCATCATATTTGATGATTGGATGTTGAAAGATATAAAACATCCTACCAAATACCCTGAATACATGTGCAAAGAAAAAAGAAGATACATGTTTGACACTTTGGCAGCTTGGAAGCATGCATTCAAGACACTTGATATCATGTTTGAATATCAATTTATCAGTCCAGTAGAGATCAAAAACCTCTTTCAAGATGAGAAAATGGTGAAGCAAGTGGTGCACTACATTGTTGGTTATCATATGAATCAATTTGGGCTTCGCTATCACTATATCATGGACAACTTGACTGAAAGTTGGGACTGGAAAGATTCACTCAAATTTCTTTCAGGTATTGCAAATTTTATTCCTTGATAATTTGATTTTTAACTTCCAAATTTTGGCTTTTTGTTTCAATTGAATTTTTTGCTTTTTTTTTCTCCCAAATTCCAATCAAAAACTCAAGTACTGGGATACAAAGAAGAATGTATAATGAATTTTGTTTTTCTCATTGGAAAGGTAAAAGCACCAGTACCAAATTGCTCAAGAAGATACCAAGACAGAGAATTAGAAAATTTTGACAGGTCCTTTTCATGTGAAAAATACTTCAGCAAATTCTTGGACAAGTCAAATGATTCAAAACTTTCAAGAAGTAGCTTGTTTTCTGGAACTCAATATATGATTCATCCTAACTATAATGATAAAGAAGATATTCAGGAAATTATTGACAAGCTGGTTACTCAGAACCCTCACTTAGATGGTTTAATCCACCCATCACGTCATTTTTTATAATCTGGTAAAGCTTTTCATGTTCATGGAAAATGAACTGTATTCAGGGATTATTTCTAAATTGTAAGCACCATCAGATGTAAATCAATAACCACAAAAAACTTACTCATAAAAATTGATTTTATTTTGAAAAATAATTAATCTACAACAGAGTGGAAAACCCTAAGTTTCTAACCAATATGAATGTTCTACTAAAATTCCCTTCAAATTATCATGATCCAAAAGATATTTTTCATTTGGCATCACTCATCTCAAGAAACTTAGTCTTGGGGGAAAGAGCTGAACGTTCAATCATAAACATTTACCCAAATGTAAAGGATCCAACTCTTGAAACATATGTGATTAAAAATAAGGACAAATATGGAAGATCCATAGATGAAATGAAAGATATCCTTCTTGAATATGAATCTAAATACAACAAAATATTCGGAATTAATGGCAGCACTTTTACTTTTGCCTCTCAATATCAATCAATATTGGATAATGGTAAAATACGCTTGGTTGAAATAAAGAAAAGGCTAGATAATTCAGTGGAATATCAAAAACATTTACATGAGTAAATTATAGCAAAGGGTATGAGAATATATGTTAAAATCTAGTTCTAACAGCTGTGTATGTACTTACACCTTCTTTAGTTTGAATTTTGGTCTGATGATTCACATTTCCACTGGTGAAGAATTATGTTTGAGCTGTTTATACATAGTACATTTCATGGTAGTATTAATTTTGAAACATCTAGCTCCCTCTTCTATCATTTCTTTGATTTTCTCTTGATCTCTCTTCTTCCTTTTTTCCTCCTTGCTGAAATTTTTCATTAACCAATTAGTTAGAATGAATGATTGAGATTAAAGTATAATCAGACACTGATGTATCATGAGCTACCAGTTCAGTGGTTAATCTCATGTGGAGATTGAGCTGGATAGAATCAAAGGTAGTAGGGGATGTATTACTACTTAAGCACAGACTAGATACAATAAGAGAGAATGATAAGAAAAAGGATAATTTTATTCATTTGGTTTGTTGGAGTTTCTGATATTCTTAGAGAATATATACAGCTGGTAGAGGAACACCTGGGACTCTATTCCTACAAGTAGGAATAGAAACACCTGGGAATCTATTCCTAAAAGTAGGAATAGGATCAATCAGATATCTATTGATTGTGATATTTTCTCATGCATTCAAATGAAAAGGAAAGGTTATTAATGTGAATGGGGAGTGATAATCACACTCCCCCCCCCCTTGTACATGCACTCCCACACTTGCCTCAGAAGGGAAGTGTGGGCCCACACACCAAAGCAGATTGGCATGTGGGAGTGCATGTCAATCTGCAGCTGGGTAGATTCCTTGCAGATTGGCTTGCACTCCCGCACACCAATTTGATTTGGTGTGCAGGCCTGCAAACAATTATCTTACCATGCTAAATGCATGTGTATGGAAGTATAGCTATGCATTTAGCCCCTGGGCTATCCCATACGACACAGTCCTGGATCCTATGGGATAGACCAGGGGCTTGAAATTAGAGGCCATTGAAGAAAAAACTTGGGCCTGGGAGGAGCCCCTCCCAGTTCCAAGGCCATACAGTCTTGAGGCCGGTAGGGGATCCTCCTGGCCTTGAGACCATACATGGCTCAAGGCCAAGAGGAATCCCTCTTGGCCTTGAGACTTTGTGCAGTCTCAAGGCCGAGAGCAGAGGAACCGCTCCCGGCCTGTGACTTTTACATACACTCTCTATGCCAACAAGGTAGATCCTTCTCCACCAGAAGGGGAATCCTTCTGATGGACAATGTACATGCAGCACCACAACCACTACGCTTGTGAAACCTGGCCACACTAGATTTCACAGAACCAATCACACAGCTTACATAATCACCCCAACGAACAGAATTACTTATACTAGACAAAAATATCATTGTTCCTGGTTTGGTAGAGAACACTAACCATTACCTCTACCAAACTAGGTGAGTTATTCCTAATTTCCTCTTTCTTATCTCTCATAATTATTCACAACTGTTCTTCATAAAAAGTCTTCATATTTCTTTCTTTCATTGTATCTATAAAAAAATCATGTAGAGAGAACACTAACCATTACCTCTACCAAACTAGTCTTTTGAAATAAAATCTCACTCAGGTTCTAGAATTGTTCTCTCCAGGCCGTTTGCCTGTCTTACACCTGAAAACCTTCGATTCGTAGTGAAGAGCCGACGGCGCTCTTACACTTTTTTTTTCTCGAACCAAAAACTGAGTGGATGTCAACGCGGTCAAAAGCCGACACTCTACTTCCTCAATCTGATCCAGAAGCGATTTTGAAAGCCGGTTGCAAATTAGCGAAGATACAGAAGGCCGAAGCTAAACTAAACGAGCTCAAGAGTCTTCCACCTATCCCTCATTCACCTACCATGTCCGACGATCCCACAACCTCATTGCCGGAGCCGAAATCAACAGACGCATCACATTCCAACACAACAACAGAACCGTCGATTCAAGAATACCTGAAGGGTGTGATTCATCTCCAGCACCAAAGTATACAACAAGCAAATGCTGATCGAAAAATAATCCAAGAACTTCGTCAGGCGGACGCCGATCGGATCTCGCGACTCGAAGAAACACTCCTCCACATGACAATCAAGGCGGAAACGAACGACAAAGCAGCCCGTCCTGCTGCAGGCCGTATCGATCTCCAGAAATTCCGATCATCTGATGGACCGATTTATATCGGGCCCTTCCAGGGCGTCGAACAATTCATTACTTGGATCCGCAGCGTGCAGATTTTCTTCGCCACGAAAGGAGTCACACATGACGATGACAAAATCCAAATCGTTGGTAGCTTGATCCGCAAAACGAATACGACCGCGTTTTACGCTAATGGATTCGAAGGGTTTTTAGGCAAGACTTGGTCCGCGTTCAGAAAGGAACTCATTACGTTTGCTCTCCCGCCGATGTGGCGCACAACGTTAAGAGCGAAATACAAATACCTCAGAATGACGACTTTCGAGTCGTTTCTTACCTACAGCACAAGATCTAGAACGCTCCAGAGCATGCTCAACTTCGACGTGGAGAAAGAGATCATATCCGATTTTGATTTAGCGGAGTCGATGACTCTCGGGATGCCCGATA